AACAATGACAGACAAAAACAAAAACAGTACTACCAGACTTCTCGCACAGCGTCTGCTCTCAGGTTTTTGACACAGGTTGACGCTCTTCAGCGATTGGACACGGTGGAGCTCAGGCTTGCCATCGTCTTTGAGCACCAACCTTCTTGCCACGAGGTCGCAGTCCACCGTGAAGGTGTTGATGCTTTGGATGCCCTTGCTTTTCACGTGAACGGTGTAGGCGGTGTGGGCGATGTTGGGGACCAAGCCTATGATTTGGACATCGCCTCCTTCAGTCTGACTCACCGTCTCGAGCATCTTCTCGCCGTCGTTGCCGATGACGTATAAGCCCTTGTGCTCGGCTTTCTTGTACATCTCCAGCTCTTGGTGCCCTCCATGACGAATGTTTCTTCATCAATACTCACCACAAGATCTGGTTTCCCCTTACCCTTCTCTGACAGCTCTGGGGCAAAGGCCTGGTAGCCGACTTCCTTCAGTACACTATGGATGGCTTGGTTGTACTGTGCCTCAACCGAAGACCATCCTTTGCCAACTCAGATGTGTCTCCTGCGAAGCTTATGACCTTGGAGAAGAGAAGGTAGGGCAATGCTCGCAGCAGTAGGTCTGCACAGTGCTGCGGTTTGTCTTCCGCAAAGGCAACTTGCAAGGCTCGCTCCTGCTTGAGAATCTGGCGGTAGTAGGACGCCATGAGTGGATTGGATACCTTGTACTTGGTACTATAGTCGCTCCAGTTCACATCTTGGAGCTCGTGGTCTTCTTCATGCTTCGGCAGCGTAAAGCCATGAATGCACAAATCGCTTCTGTTGGCTTCATCCGTGATCATGCAAGAACCACTGCAAAGCAGGTGAATAAAGTCTTTTGGGATTGCATCTAAGGACTGATAGCGACCATTGACATGGATTGCACGACTTTTTTTTACATGGCTCAGAATCCCGTCAGCCTTGTTCCAATCTCCATTTGCATAACTCTTGCGCACAAGTCTCACTGTCTCCGCAAAGCTCCAGATCTCCTCCTCCTTCCCTCTCTGTTGAAAGCTCACCCAATGCAACGCTGCGATGAAGATGCCACGATGTTCACCGCAAAAACGGATGAAGAAATCGGTGCTCTTCTGGTCCAGGCTCACACCCGCTTCCTTCAGTTGAGTCTCCAGCTCGTTCGTGTAGCTCAAGGGAGGCGTCCACATGAACTTCTGGGTGATTTCAGCAGGTGTCGACGCTGTGAGATTTTCGGATGCGGATGCATCGCCTGAGGCTGAGAATAACAGAAGCTTTGGTCGATGCTTTTCGTCGCTCTTGAAGAGCGCTGAGCATAGATCTGATGACGCAAAAAGTGTGTGCGCCTCGTCGTAGACGAGGGTCAGTTCCCTCTCTTTCGCCAGCTTCAGGGA